TAGCGATCTCAGACTTGTGGAAGCCAAGTCTGTCTCCCAGTCCAGCCTTTTAAGTGTGCAACGTAGATCTGGAACTGCAGACTTCATATTCCAAATCTGAGTCTAGAGCAGACTCTAGAACCAAGGCATCAAAATCCAAAATCTACCATTTGTACTCCAGGCCCCAGACTCCACACAGCCTGTGTAAAGTTTTCTGACCTCAAGTCCAGATTCCTAATCTGGATTCTAGATCCAAATACCTGTGGTCTAGAATCCAAGTCTGAGACCTCAAAGAGCATTCAAAACCTTGACCCCAGGATCCAGATTCCAGACCTGAGATCCCAGAACTCAGACTTGAGAATTCACACTCCAGACTTCCAGTGATGAATAAATAACAAATTCAGGACCCCAAAGTCTAGAACTCAAGCTCCAGATCCAGAATCCAAGCTCCAACTCCAGAATCCAAGATCCAGAATCCTGCCCCAGGAACAAGAAGTATGACTCTAGAATCCAGTTTCCACACTCCACACCCCAAATTCCAAGCTCTGTATTTTGAGGTCCTCCAAACTTTCTTGCACTTGCCTTCCTGTCCCCTGCCCCTGGAGGAAAATTCCTTCTCACAGACTCAGACAATAACTTCAGCCCATAAATGCTCATTAAGCCTAGTCCCCCACCCCACCAGCCACCCAGGCGTCCAGCCTGTAAACCGGACTCTCAGACACCTCTCACCCCACCCTACACCACCCAACCCGAGACCCAGGTGGGGCTGGGACCTTATAAATTCAGGCTTTCCGGTGCCTGCTTCCCTTCTGCGGCCATCCAAGCTGCCCTAGATGCTCCTGGAGATCTGGAGGGGGTGAGATCTGTAAGAAAGAACTTGGGAAGCGGGAGCGCAAGGGGCGACACTGACCACCCTGGGGGAATCGAGTGTCAAGGCTACTGGATAGGTCCATGTGTCCGTTACTGAGGGCCCAAGCTGAATCTGAACCAAGACAATGTCCTGAAGCTTCTAGAAAAGCCCCTATGGGAGGAGGGGAGGTAGAGTGAGCCAGAGGATGTCTCTGAAAGCACCTGTGCCAGAACCCAGGAGAACAGCCTTCCAGAGCTCTCTCCTGCATGCCAGGCCCCAGCTGACCTGAGCCCCCTCTTCAGAGCCCCCAAGATGGGGTCAGGGAAAGGCCAGACAGCATTTGTGAGTGGGTGTCTGTGCTACGTGGAGGCAGGAGTCCAGGAGACGAGCACTAGGCACTGGGCGGCCTGGAGGAGACCGGGCCAAGCCTTGAAGGACAGGTAGGGAAGGACTGTGACTCACTCCCAAAGCTTCCTCAGATCCCCCATGGGCCAGACCCGGCAGCCACAGAGCTGGGAATCCAGAACCAAGTCAGCTGGGGCCTGCTCTCAAGGAGTTCCCAGTCTGATGGGGGAGGGAGATGCCACCGAGGGCCAGGGAGGTCAGAAAAGGCCTGCGGGGGTGAAGTGGACCATGGAGAGAAGGGCATACCTGATGGGGCACAGCCTGAGCCAAGGTGTGAAGCCATGGGACTGCAGAAGGCGGAACGGCAGCACTAGAAGGACAAGGTCACGGAGACCCAGCCAGACAGGCTGGAGGACAAGGGCGCGCTCACGTCCTCTAAAGTGGGGCTGAGGGGCTCGGACTGTATCCCGGGATCACTCAGGGGTCTGTGGGGGCTATGAGCAGGGAGGGGCATGGACGGCCAGCTCTGGGAGTGGACGAGCCCAGGGGGACGCCTTGGTTTGGAGACAGGCTGGGGAAGTGCTAGACTGAAGGGGACCCGAGGGGAGGCTGGGATTGGGTCCTGAGCCAGGGCCTTGGGGATGGAGAGATCAGGAGCTGTTGGCATGGTGCGGGGGTCTGTCCTGGTGCCTAGAGGAACAGTAGACCCTCCAGAGATGGGGACCCAGCAGG